GTCAAATCTCAATTCGCTCCAAAGTTTACATGTATTTTGTTTTTGCTTTTGATGGGTGTGCTGTCAAATGAGTAAAAGCAAAAACAAAATACATGTAAGGCGAAGAAATCAGCTGATTTTACAATACCACCTTGTATAAATTCGCCTTGGGTACTGAGTGCAAATGGTTATAATGCACCTAAACGCAATGTAAAACGGAAGCATCTGAAATCAATAGATCCAAGAAAGGCGAATTTATACAAGGTGGTGTTACTGGCGAATTTAGATTTTCGCCGCGGTACTTCCTAATGTCCTAATTATGTTTTTGGTTGTAAACAAGGCGAGTTCATATTACAACAAACACATCATTTTGACATTAAAAAGTACCGCGGCGAAAGTCTTAATTCGCCAGTAGCACCACCTTATAAAAATTCGCCTTTGATCCAAGGGTTGCTTCCATGGCGAATTTATACAAGGTGGTGTTGATGGCGAGTTCACATTTTCGTCGCGGTACTTCCTAATGTCAAAATGGTGTGTTTATTGTAAACAAGGCGAATTCATATTACAACAAACACATCATTTTGATCTTAAGAAGCACCGCGGCGAAAATCTAAATTCGCCATCAACACCACCTTGTATAATGGGCTGTTTTTGCTTACGCGTAAAAGCACATTTAGCGCATTTAGCTCTAAATGCTACTCTAAATGTACATTTATCCATACAAAATTCGTCACCTAAATGCAACTAAATGCAACTCCATTTTTGCATTTAGAATCTAAATGCTAAAAGCAACCCTGTGATCTTCCAAAATTTCCACGATTCGAACATGGTTTAATGAGAAGAAGGGCAACATTGCTTTTTTGAGTATACAGTCGCTAGCTGCGTTTCAGTGATCGCCGATCGAGATTTCATTTATTATTTTACATTATTTGGATAAAGAAAAGTTACGCAAATTAAACAACGATATGATGCTGATAGAAATCTGGATTAATTTGTGATCAACTCTGTTTGTTTTGTTTCCTAATTAAGTGTGGAAATTATAATTGACAGCACCGACAAATGAATATATACACAAACAAATGTTTGGTTATGGTTAAAACAATTCAAGTTTTTGTATTCAATTTTCGGTTTAGAATTTATTTTTTCCTTTTCAGTAGGGATTTTTGGACATTCTCTTTTCCGTGAGAATTTATCGTAATAGATACGGATCTGAATAAGCGACTGGAACACGGCTGTTTGTCAAAAGCACACGATTTCGAACTCGCGTAAATGTACATTTGCTAAATGCGATAGCATGAACGCTCTTCGAAAACATATGTTCGAAAGTGCTAAATGTTGCATTTTAAATGCAGCAAAAACGCTGCATAAATTCACCTTGGTTGCTTCACTATGTTTTGACGTTTCTTGTCCCTTTGTGCGCTAT